TATAAATTTGTAGCATAAGAATTGTCTTATCAAGAATATTTTACCGACAATGATTTATTAGACAAACAATGAATAAATTTTTAATGCCTTAAGTAATGAATCATTTACCAATTCCCATAATACTGTTGTGAAGGATATCCGGTATGATAACCAAGCTATTTGTAATCTTCAATATATTATTGAGCATCCGGTCTGATAACCATGCTCATATTCAACGGTTAACATATCTTACACTTCCGTTAGCCAATTCTCATCCGAATTCTTCTTGGAAACTAATCTCGCACATAATCCATTACCCTCACTATATAAAGGATTTCCATTGTTTATCCAAGGGGAGGTTGATTTGCTGTGCTACTGGTCCCCATGTCAAGAGGTTTATTTGGTGTTCTGACAAGTCTCTCTATCTTAAGCTTCAATTCAACTATTCAACACGCTAAATTACCTCTTTACACCAACAAGAAACCCAATTGTATTCTCTATATTCGCAATAATCTAAGGATAATAAACTTATCAAGGTCATCAGTAAATCTTTATCAAACTCTTTGCATCCGTGTCAAGCAACACAAAGAAACTTCATCGTCAGTTTTCTCTAACACAAACCAAAAATTTTCGAAAACACTTCGTAAAGGATTTGGAAAAGTAAAGAATCCTTTTAAATTCTTTTTGAAAACTGCTTTATGCACTTACAAATCTCTCTGAAAAGTGCGACCAATTCTTGCAATTGCGAACCAATTTCGGCAACGGTTTTCAATAAAATTAGGCTGTGAATTCTTCAAAATTTTGTCGGAACCATTTACTGCCTTGATCACATTATGTTCGTAAAGAAAAATCGAATTCAAAGGCGATCTAAGAGAATATTTTTTGATTGTATATACAGAATTACTGAAAAAAAATGAATCACATGGAGAAGTCTACGTACTATTAAGACTATTTTAGTAGTATAACCAAATAAGTGAAAACTAAAAATATAACTCCAAAAGGTGGTTTAATCCTTGCATTATACTACGGCTCTACTAGAGAAATTGAATTCACTGTGGAAGATAAACAGAGCCAAGAGCAAATCGGGGCGACTGCACAAGATGGCAATGAACACATCCAAACAAGAAGCACAGAGTAAAGCACAGAATTTGTTCTTTTTTTTTGACAAGTTAAGGTACCTTAATTATTTAGACAAAGAAGCCGCTATGTATTGCAACACATCATAAACGCATTGATATAGTAAACATCGTACAGCTGATTTGACGAGATTACAATTGATTTTTAAAACATGAATTTAAAATAAAAGTTCCGCTTTAAATAAAAGCCGCTTTCGGTTGAGCCGGAAATTTGAATTTAGAATATCCTAGCATTAAAACTTACAAATTTTTGTTTGATGTCACCTACGAAAATATCGTAGAATTGTTTGCCGAGAGAATCTTTAAACTAGGCAGAATTTCCTTATATGAACAGATAATCCAACTTAGAAACTTCAAAAGTCAACGAGATAAAGTTAGTCAGCAAAGAATATAATCATCATTAAGGCTATCACGGATGCAAAAAAAAAAAAGAAAAAAAAAAAAAAACAGAGCAATACCAAATAATAACGGAAATATGAATAAAATGAAATCATGCCTGGATTCTGCATGAATATTAGAAGAACAAAATAGTTGAATTTGTCAAAAATATTTTTGAATCCCACTTTTCAAAAAAAAAAGAAAATCAGTACGACCTAGGAGACTTGCGTGGTGTAACATAAGCTCATCTAATTACACTATAAAAATTGTTTTGCCATTACTGAGAATCAAAATTAGAGATCTTTCGCATCACAATATTCCTTCGACCATTTTATTCGGAGATTACATTTAATAAGAACCCAATAAAATGAAGAATCATTTAACAAAAATGTAATCGGCCAATTAATCATTCCCCCATATGGAAATACGAATGCTTATCACGAATCATAAATTTGATCCCATAATAAACGAACATTTTTGGCGGAAATTACAGAAATTCGGAGTATAAAAAACTGGGTTTTGCGTAAAAACTGCCAATAATTTACTGAAATCATTGCACCTTAAGACATAAATTAGTCAATAATTTCTACATTTTAGTTTCCGACTTCTGATTATCCAACAACGGTGTCTCCTCGTTATTCGATTGTACATTGGAGTTTGCTGATTCTGGTTTAGTGACCCGTATAATTATTGCGTCATCATCATCTGCATTATCATCTGGAATCTTCATTTCAGGCGCTGATCTGGAAATTCTTCGACATTTAATAAAAAAAAAATTTTTCTTAAATCTTCCAAACGTTCAGATAGACATTTATTTTTTGCCGTATGTTCAAAACGTGTCCAGCAATATTTATCACTAACAACAGTAAAGTTTACTAGAATATTCAGTACTCATATATCACTGGCCTAGCGTAAATATAAGACAACACATGCTGCGTCATCAACTTACAGTAAGGTAAATTGGAAGAAAAATAGAACAATTAAAGTTTTGTGTCAAACTATTGACTATAACCAAGTAGAGGTTAGATTTTTATATTTGGTGATTAGAATTTAGAAACAAAAAAGGTTAGATTTCTTCTCTTTAGCCTTTGTCACGATTATACTGCGCCAAATTTCAATAATCGCTGATCCGAATAGAAAAAACAAACAGAAAAATTAACATTATATATTAAAAGTAAATCAATCATGTGAAACTTGAAGGATGCAGCTTCCGCATTTTTCTTCATCTTTTTCTGTTTTTAAATTCTAATTACCAAATATATGCAATAATTGCAAATCACTTTTCCGAGATAAGCACTATTAAAGTTGTACAACAATTTTACAACACAAGACGATATGATGTGACTTCTTCAATCATTCTCATAACTTATATTTGATTTAAACTGATATTTTTAGTGATAAAAACATCACGAATCCTTCACAAATAGATTTTACTATGCAGAAAATATTTTTCGTTTAAAATGTGTTTAAACTTTTAAAATCGCAAATTTTTTTCGGAAATCAGCAAAAAAAAATTAGAATTTGAAATGTTTGTTGCGAAAAAGTTTTACCAATAACTACCCAGCTATTTGTAGTCCGGTTTCCATAATGACACACAAATACACCCTGCTATCCCCATATACTGGCCTATTAACAGAAGTCAAAAAAATGTGAAAGAACGAGAAATGCTTTCGTAGATTGGCGAGCAATCTACGACCACTTGAACAATCGAATCTTCATTAGTCAGTATTTACGTTTACCTGGCTTGCTTGGAAGTGACAGTAAAATGTCGCACCGTATGTCGACAATGTCCACTCGACAAAGCTCTCACCATAATGAAATATGCAAATAATATTGCATGACAGACAATTTTGAAATAAAAAAAATTTCCTTTGAACCTCCATTGGTCACTTCATGGAAATACATAACACTCACGCAGCTGTTTTGGATGAAGACAATTGATTCGTTCCCAAAGTGATATGCTTCCACATTCCAGTTTTATTTACTTCATTCGAGATATTCATGTTATGGATATTATGTGAAGGTTCTTGGATTGCTGCTAGAGGAATCGTGATTATTTCCCCACTTGCTGTTGGAATATGCAAATGTGCTTCTGTCTTCACGGCACGTATAGTACCTTGATTCTCTTCAAGATCTATGTCGAATTCTTCCTGAAAAAAAAACGCTCAATTCAAGTCCAGTATAATGGAATGACCATTTGAAGACTATCCGAATACTGTAATCATCCGGAAAGATATGTTCATCGAAAGTAACAAAACAAATCAATGCATACCACTACACTTTTTTTCCTCTTCATATCCTCCTTCTTTCTCAAATGAAAATCAGGCATTTTATCGTCCAGATAACGCAAGTCTTTCTCAGTGAAAAACTTTTCCATAACCTTGCGAACAGCAACCATTACCACCAACTGAAAAAGATGATGACGACATTATTACAGGAACTCAATGTTTTCAATGAAAGCACAACTATTTTTCATTTCCGCAATACCTTTACAAAACTTATAGAAATAATAACAAAAAGATCTCAAACTTTAATAAAAACAGTAACGTATACTTGCTTTTACGTTAAATTGTGCAAAGTTGCTGATATAGTCAATATTGTGATTGCAATACCACGTTCACATAACGCTTTAATAGCTATCAAAGTTGAAAAATATGATTTCAGCTGAATAAATTTAAGTGAAAGACAAAAGCACACCATAATTGGGAAAGCAATAGAGGTTCGCTTGATAGATTTGACAGTCCACAAAACTGCAAGACAAGCTACCTGGCAGAATGTGAACTTATGAATCACCGATATTGGCACATGTCGAATGTAAATCGTATCTGGCTGGTATCTGAAATTGATGACCAA